AAAGAAAAAATAAAACCCATCTAGCCTCAGATATTTCCTCTGTACTACAAATCACCAGAAGTCTATGAAGTGATTTCCTAAGAGTTTTAAATGGCAGGGGGTGGAGGTGGGAGGGGAGATTATAACTGAAGATGTCTATACTATAGCTAGGCTTTATTCACATTCAAAAATAACAGAAACATTTTATTGGAGATACAAAAGCCCACAAAACAAAAAGTGCATGTACGCTTTCTTTTAAAAATATGCACAAAATTTTCTAACAATTACAAGATGAACACACATGCACATAACACACACACTCAAGAAAAAAGAAGTAATAAACTTCAGAGAGATGAGGGCTATTACCAAAAAAACATAAAGTTTAATGGTAAATTAAGGAAATAATAAGTGTTAATAATTATATTATTTATATGATTATTAATTATAATTATATTATTTATAAGATTATTAATTATAAGTAGACTATATAATTATTGATTATAATTATATAATTAATTATATTATATTATTAATTATATATATATGTAATATAATATAAGCAAGAAACTAGACCTCAAATCCTGGAGTGTATCACAAAAAAGTTGTCATTTTCTCATGTAAGAAATCTGTTTCCACTTAAAGTTAATAATTAGAGGAAAATCATTTCTATACATGGTTGAAAAATATAACCAGTGGGAGAGTAATTTCTTATAAATAAGTAGAGGGAAGAGAGGGAGAAAAATCACTTGAAGAAAATAGAAAATAAAACAGCGAGGAAGGATTGAAAAAAACCGAAATTATCAAAAGTGACAGGAAGAAAATGGTAGGAAAATGTGTGCTTTACTGGAAATCTATGCCTTGTTTCCATAGAGCACGCCCTTCCAGGTTAACTAATTCTAGCCTCTCCTTTTGTTTGAGTCATTTTAGAACTGTAAATTGTAGGTAACTGATATCAGTGCGAATTCATTCTTATCTATAAACATGCAAATTCTGTCCCGAGCTGATCTGCTGAACTGCCTCCCCACAGCCCCCCAAAACCATTTTGCCCCCATCTGCACATCCATGTCAATATTCCTGATCAATAAATGTGCCTGCTCTCCACATTCTCTTTTGAACTGGTGATGACATCTGTCCGGTTCCTTCGTGAGTTCGAGAACATATTTAATGCGCGTTCGTGTCTATGTTTGTACGAGGGCCATGACAGAATTTTTATGGGCATTTTTCTTTCAGTAAAACGAATCAGTTCTGATTAGTATAAATAGTACACAGCCTGCTCAGAAGGACAGAGCTACAGCAGCCCCGTAGTGTTTGCTATATTCAAGGAGTGCAAAAAGGTAAAAATAAGTAAATAAATAAAAGTTTGGGCAGCAATATCTTGGGCAAGTTCAGACACATAAAGTAGGGTTAGCAATATTAGCATATGGCTGAGCGGAATTGATGTCAAGTAATAATGAATAGGACAAAGAAAGCCAAGGTAACCATTTGAAGTCTCAATCTGCAATGAATTTATAATAGGTTCTGAATATATCATGGCAGCAGATAATGCAGAAAAACGTTACGGAACAAGGAGAAATGGTCAGGTCCAATAGTAGTAAGAAACTCTGTCCGGCCTCTCTACTTGACACACGGAGAAGGCAAAATAAATAAATTAACGTTGGGGTAATATAATCGACAATATTTATTTATCAGTCCCATATTAAACTTTGTACTCTGTAAGCAGGTAGATGACATAGCCGTGATGGTTTGCCTCTTGCAGAATAGGTTAGCATTCTCAGAAAGTTTGATGTGGCCAGAAGAACAGACCATTAATTTCACTAAAATATTAATAATAATGATGATATAGGCAACAAATGTTCTCATCAGCTCCTGGAATCTTACCGTGTCCTTGACTTTTATCTTTGACTCACTTAGCTTAACCCCCCTTGAAGCTTGGCTAAATGACGGATGGATGATAAATACACCCAAGAGGTGTTTCTTTGAATTTTTTTTTCAACGTTTATTTCTTTTGGGGACAGAGAGAGACAGAGCATGAGCGGGGGAGGGGCAGTGAGAGAGGGAGACACAGAATCGGAAGCAGGCTCCAGGCTCCGAGCCATCAGCCCAGAGCCCGACGCGGGGCTCGAACTCACGGACTGTGAGATCGTGACCTGGCGGAAGTCGGACGCTTGGCCGACTGCGCCACCCAGGCGCCCCAAGAGGTGTGTCTTTGAACAAAAAGAAAAGAAAATAGATAATCCCCTAGATAATCCGAATGAAACCGAAAATAAAATGATCATGTATACATTTACTTCTTGTTTCATTAAAGATAAAAAATGATTTATGCAAACGAGACTATGTTAGAGTGCCCATTGTAAGGTATAAAATTGAAATCATCTCACTATTCAATAACATGTTATTGTATTAGATTAGGCTTTATTTTTATTTAATCAATCCTATGTTGCCATTAAGGGAAAGATTGCAGAGAAATACTTAGCAACATGACAAATGTTCACAGTAGGTTAGTAAGTGGGAAAAAAGTGACTGCAGACGAAATGCAGAGTATAATTTTATATTCGTAAAAAGCACAATATATGTATAAAACGTCTGAAAAAAACCAAAATCTCACACGTTTACCTGTATTATGCTAATATTATGCTCAGCTGTATGTTCTAACTTTAGACTATAAGGACACATGATGACCAAGTTAAATATTTGGATACCTGCATTGGGAATGTCCTCTGTTTTCTCCCTTTCTTCCTTTCCCTAGGAATTTGCCCAGGCAAACTCAGGAATGAGTGCACGGGCACCACGGCCTCCCTGGGCAGGTGACAGCTGACAGGGCCAGAGGTACACACCTGCCCCAAGCTGGGCTCATTAGATCTGCTCCCCTGAGAATCTCAAATCGAGTTCAAAATCACCGGTTGACCGAGAGAACAGGAATCAGACAAACAGACAAACCTGGGGAGCTGGGGGCTGGGCTGTCATTTCAGTGTGGGGATTCAGAAGTCACTGGCGCTGAGCAAGCCAGAGAGATGGTTTGCGAAGAGAATAAATAATCAACAACAACAACAACAATGCGTGCCGTTTATTGTGTGTTCGTTACGTGACGGGCATTCTCTAAGAGATCGACCTTTAAGGTAGATACTATCCCTTTCCTCCTTTTGTATGTGAAGAAACCAAGGCACAGAGAGATGAGGGACAGTAGGCAGAGGGGTGGCCGCTTGACAGCAGAGAGAGAAGAGGGGAGTGGCTTCCGTGAGCCTCGGGGCTTTTCAGGTCCTACTGCGAGTCGCTTGTGGGGCCCCGTTTTATTTTCTGTCATTTGCTGGCCACCGAACTGGCTGAGCAAGCCAGGTGCCCCAAGAGTTGAGTGTTTTAATATATCCACCTCCTAGATGAGCTGTGTCAGTCTCTGGAAGCAAGACTCCTGGAGGAGACCAAACGAGAATTTCTGGGAAAGAAATAGAGACAGGAGCCTCAAAAAGAACTTCTAGTGGCAACAAAAATATCCTCGTAAGGTGTGAAAACTGGATTAAGAAACGCCCTTTGCTGAGATCCAACACTTAACTCTCCCTAGATTTAAGGATAGACGGGGTGGTGAAGAGATTTTTCTTTAAAAGATGTAATTTGTGTTTCGGACTGGTGAAATTATTGCAAACCTACTGAAAATTACCGAAAAACTGTAAAGATGGGCCTTGGAGCTAGAGGATGTGCCCCCCCTCCCCCTTCTTTGGGTGTAAATAACAGCCTTACAAAACAGCTAGATGGATACTCTTACCCAGAAGACTCAGAGAAAACTCAGTGGTCAAATACCCAGATGAAAAAAGAAGCATTCGGTTTATCATCTGGATGTTTTGTCTACATGGGGGAGAAAAATCTGTGGCTGTTTCCAAATATTTGAAAAAAAAAATATTTGGGAACATCCAGATGTTTGGCTTTCTGCAGCTCAAACATCCAGATGTTGAACCAAATTTCCACCTTTCCCCACAGGATGTTTCAGCGTCATGTGGACCCAGCCATGGTTACCGTAATTCCAAACGGCGAAATAGTGTCATAGAAAGTCATTAGTGGGGGGTGGGGGGAAGGACACGGCACAGCGAAGTGTGAAGGTTAGAGATGATCATAAACAATAAGAGTAGGGAAAAAAAGGAGGAGGGGATTACACCGCTGACCAATCAGGTTGAGCCATTACTAATATAAATTGTCGGCCCTAGTGTTCTCTTGCGGAGGGTCTAATAATTAGGAATAATAAACGTAAGCTGGAGGCCCTTACTGATTAAAAGGAGGCCAGTAGCACTTGCAGTGTTTACAAAACTTGAAAGACTTGGAAAGGGACATCCTCTGCTTTGAAAGGAGTTGAAAATTCTAAACTTCACGGGAAGGGGTGAGCAGAGTTCAGTTTCCTCCTCTTATTTTATTGGGCTCAGTCTAATGTGACCCTGAAGTGTCTCCAATTACAACGTTCTTAAACTTGTGGGAATCAGCCTAATAAAAATACTGTAAAGAAATACAGCTCATCCCACAGCTGTGGGCTGGCTGTGTAGATTACCATGGTGCAGGAGTTAGGGTCGGCCTCCCGAAAGCAGATTCCATTTTCCACACGGCAGTAACGTGAACTTGAATGGAGGCGTCAAATGAGAAGACAATGTTTTGATTCTGATTAAGATTCTAAAATCTGATTTTTAGCCAACTTGTTGTTGGCGAAGAACAGCAAAGCCATAAATAAAATAGCCACAGATGGGTCTGGATATCTGTTATGAACAACCATCAAGAAAATGCTTTTATTTTAATTGGTTGGTACTGAGCAAAAGGAGTGTTCAGCCAAAACCTTATTGCTGGTCCTGTTGTAATTATTTTTTTAACCAGTTCACCACTGCCTTCCAGGTCACTGTCAGGACCTCCTACAGAGGTGCCTGGTACAACGTCTGCCCCTGATACGTGTTTGGCTTTGCATACCGTGCCTGAAATTGTTCAAGAAATTGATGTCTTCTTTTTTTTTTTTTTTACTTGCAAAAGCATAGCTTGCTGGAAAGTAACCTAGATGTGGTCCGAGTTTCTTTTTTAAAGTTAACAGTCTTCACAGAAGCTGGGGTTGGGTTGAAGTCAGGAATAACATGGTCCGCTGTTGTTTGTAGGATGGGAATGACTGAAGGCCAAGGCTGACTTTCCAAGGAATTATCCAGAGAATGGAGGAAGAAGAAGCAGACCTTAAAACTCTCAAGAAGGATTTTGTATTTTTTAGTTGATTTCCGGAGAATTGAACTCTGGCTTAATTTGAGAAAGTATCTCGAAAATTCTTCATACTAGAGCAAAAGTTACCCAAGTATAATCCAATTAAGACACACACACACACACACACACACACCCCAGTACTAGTGATAACATGCAAACATCGTTTGGTTTTGATAGAAACAGAAAACAAGCTTTTGGTTCTCAAAATGCTTTCCTGGGGCGTAGGGAAGGAAATATAACCACTATACTAAGTGTATGGAACCAGGCGAGGAGATGGTCATGATTTCTTCCTCTGATAAGAATGATACTTTACACCATCACATGCCAACAAACTGGGAAAAAAAAATTCCTACAGTGGTATGTTCAGTGTTACAGGAGAATTGAAAACGATCAGTGTCAAACAGAGAGACCGTGGGCATCACTGACAGTGCACATCATAGTGGGTAAGAGCAAACCAGAGACAGATGGCTTGAGTCAGAATCTGGGCTTTGTCTCTTCTGGCTGGCTGACTTCATGCAAGATACACAAGCTCTTTCTGCCTCAGTTTCCTCATCTACAAAAGGGGGATGATAACAGTAGTCCTAGTGCCTGGGCTCGTCGCCAGGATTCAAGAAGGAGTATATGTGAAGCTCTTAGACGACCCCCTCCTAGTCAAGTAATCTTTGAAACCAAAGTACGCGAACCAAAGAGCATGGAATCAAAAGGTTCCTGAAGCTCTGAGATGGGAATGAGAACCGAAGAAGCCATATGATAAGATGCCGTGATCAGAAATAAAATGAGACATGTTTTGACACTTAATGACATCCTAAAAGATTGGGCGGCAGAAGATGTACACGTGTGTCTGCAGTAAATGTGGTGAGGAGGTGGGGGGGGTTGGGCAAGGGAGATCAATCTCGAAGCTTTCAATTAGGATCCTGTGGGCGGGGAAGAAGACTGGAGCTTGCAGGGAAGGAACTGGCTGATATTATTATTATTTTTTTTTTGATGCAGCATTCCAGAAAACATAATCAATGGCACCCGTCCAGTTCCCATTTAGTAACCAAAGAACTAGCTGCAGCTGTTTTTTATGCCTGGTGGTGCCAGTTTGATAGTGTATAATCATATTTGCATAAAGATAAAAAGGAAGGTGTTATAGAACACAGTTAAGCCTATGGTTTCACCATGAATTAAAGGTAATTTCAGACTAATTAGGTATAATTTGTTAAGGAATTCTTCCCAGCAATGATGACTCTGATTTTGTAATTACAGGACAATGCTTACTGTGGCTTTCAAGGCTGGAGAAAGCACACCCGAGGGGGTCGTGTCCCACACTAGGCAGATCTAATGGTGCCACAAAAGACAGGTGTTTTGTCAGATTTCAGCCACACACTTTCACACCTGCAACGCATTAAGTACAGCAGCAATGTTAATGAAGACCAGGTGCCTGTTCCCCAACTTAAATGAGAAACTGGCGTGAGGTTTGCTGTTCGCTACCTGACGTCTTCCTCCGTGTCTCTGAACACCGGCCCTCCAGTTGACTGGGAAAATGAACTGGGTGAGCAGGTTTCGGGGGGCGGCTTTGCCCTCCTCCGTTTTTTGTTTTTTTTTTTTTTTTTTTGCAGTGGGAGGACATGGGGTAGTGAAATGTTGACTTTGCATCCCGGTAGGTACGGCGGTTATCCTCGCTGCCTGAGTCGCCTGTTGGTTCTCACCCTCCGAGAGTGGGGAAGACTCTTCCAGCCCCAAGTGTTTCTGGGTTTCTCTGCGGCTACCCCTTTTGTGCAGAGCTCCGCCTCCGGGAGTCCCGAAAAGAGCCTGAGCTGCACGATCGGCAAAATGGGTTTCTGGAAAGTGCTGTGTTATCAGCTGCTACCAGGGAAAGTTTGATTGCAGCTACTTGAGTCTTTTTTTTTTTTTTAATTTTTTTTCAACGTTTTTTATTTATTTTTGGGACAGAGAGAGACAGAGCATGAACGGGGGAGGGGCAGAGAGAGAGGGAGACACAGAATCGCAAACAGGCTCCAGGCTCTGAGCCATCAGCCCAGAGCCCGACGCGGGGCTCGAACTCACGGACCGCGAGATGGTGACCTGGCTGAAGTCGGACGCTTAACCGACTGCGCCACCCAGGCGCCCCTACTTGAGTCTTTTCAAACTTGAAGTTTTGCCATCCTGTCCGGAAATGAGTAATGGAGGCCTTGAGCAAGCTTTTTCATTTTAATAAAACACAAGGTTTTCATTGTGTGTGGCTGCATCGTTGTAATGCTCTCTGTTATGAAATACAAAATCTTTTTCTCCCTCCCTTAAAAAAAAAAAGAAAAAACAGCCTCAGCAGTGGGTTTTTTTTCCTTTCTCCTCCTTTCCTTTGTTTTACCACTTTGAGCTGTAGCTGTCTGCTCCCTGCAATTCCTAGCAGTTATGTGAAAAGTTAATATTGTAAAAAAAAAAGAAAAAAAAAAAACCCAAAACCACACGTCAGAATTGAAAGAGGCTGAAAGAATGGGCAGGTCTAGGTTCTCAGCAGCAGGAGTATAATTATCAGACTCATTACCAGTGACTTCTGGCACACGAGAGCCCCCTAAACAAAACCGCCTCTTTACCCTGGGAGATGGAAGGATGGACAAATATCAGAATGTTTGATGCTGCCTTTAAACTCCCAGCCCTAATTAAGTTAGAAAAGAATGGAATCCTAGACTTCTAGAATAGCAGATGTAAATCTTGGAGAGGGAAGGAGCCTTTGAGGCTAGAGTTCTTTAACTCTTAAATTCCTGAAGTCAGTGCATTGGCACCCAATGCCTAGCCTTCAGAAACAGACTATTGCAGTGACTTACAAGTAACACAGATCTGAATCATTCATTCCATGTGATTTAGCAGTGGTTTTCGAGGAACTTTCAAGGGCACCTTGAAGGAGTTTTTCAAGAAGCGCCCCAGCGTGTATCAATATGGCTACGTGGGGAGGTCTTTTTTTTTTTTTTTTAATTGAAATGTGGTTGACCTACATCGTTATATTAGTTTGGGGTATATGGCCTATGATTAGATAATTCTATACATTATACATTGCTCAAGATGATAAGTATAGTCACCATCTGTCATAATACAACGTTATTACAGTATTATTGACTATATTCCCTATGCTGTTCTTTTCGTCCCCATGACTTATTTGCAGTTTGTATCTCTTAATCCCCTTTACCTACTCTGACTGTCGTCCAACCCCTCCCCTCTGGTAACCACCAAGTTGTTCTCCATATTTGAATCTGTGTTTCTTTGTTCATTTGGGGAGGTCTTTCCAGAAAGGTATGCTCTGGTTTTCCATTCTCCACATTCCCCCAGCCACAGTGAAAGCAATTTTGTTTTTCAGTTTATTTGTAAGATTTGGTGGCTTTAGGTTCACAGCAAAATTGAGGGGAAGGTACGGAAATTTCCTGTGTACTCTGCCCCCACACAGAGCCTCCCCCATGATGCACATCCCCACCAGAGTGGTACATTTGTTGCAATTGATCAACTGCACTGACTCACCGTAATCCCGTCAAGTCTGTAGTTGTCATAATGGTTCACTCTTGACGTTGTACATTCTACGGCTTTAGACAAATATGTAATGACCTGTATCCACCTTTATAGGATATAGAGTAGTTTCTTGGTCTTAAAATCCCATGCTCTACCTACTCCTCCCCATCTCCCTTGACCCCTGGAAACCCCTGATCTTTCTACTGTATTCATAGTTTATTGTTTTCCACAATGTCCTATAGTTGGGATCATACATTATGTCGCCTTTCCAGATGAGCTTCTTTCGCGTAGTAATATGAGTTTAAGGTCCTTCCATGTCTTTTCATGAGTTGATGGCTCATTTCTTTTTGGCACTGAAGAACATTCCACTGTCTGGATATACCACAGCTTAGCCACTCACCTAATGAAGGGCATCTTGGTTGCTTCCAAGTGTTGGCAATTATACATAAAACTGCTATAAGCATCAGTGTGCCGGTTTTTGTGCGGACGTAAGCTTTCAACCCCTTTGGATAAATACCAAGGAACACAATTGCTGGCTTGTATGGCTTAGTTTTGGAATAAGCTTCCAAGCTGTCTCCCAAGGTGTTTTTCCCACCAGCTTTTGATTTTGTCTGTTTATTTCCTGTTCTTGTCTTACTGTGTTAGCTAGGACTTTGAGTACAACGTTTAAAAGGAGTGGTGAGGGGCGCCTGGGTGGCGCAGTCGGTTAAGCGTCCGACTTCAGCCAGGTCACGATCTCACGGTCCATGAGTTCGAGCCCCGCGTCAGGCTCTGGGCTGATGGCTCGGAGCCTGGAGCCTGTTTCCGATTCTGTGTCTCCCTCTCTCTCTGCCCCTCCCCCGTTCATGCTCTGTCTCTCTCTGTCCCAAAATTAAATAAAAACGTTGAAAAAAAAAATTAAAAGAAAAAAAAAAGGAGTGGTGAGGGAACATTTTTGTCCTTTAATAAATTTTTTGCATTTATTTAGTTATTTTGAGAGAAAGAGACCGAGTGCACTAGTGGGGGGCGCGGCAGAGAGAGAATCCCAAGCAGAGATCGATGAGGGGCTCGATGAGATCATGACCTGAGCTGAATCCAAGAGCCAGATACTTAACCGGCTGAGCCACCCAGGCACCCCATTTCCTTGTTCTTTTCCATTTATTAATTTGGTGTGCATCAAAAACTTAATAGGAAGAAGGGTTGTAACTGCCAAAGAATTGTCTGAAACCCTATCTTATCGCTGAAAACCCTTGGGTGTCTACTAAGTACTCAAGTATTCAAGCAAATCCAAATGCTTCTTGTGGACAATGTTGGCTGTGTGTGCAAATTCTCATGGAGGCCACCTCTGTGCAAGGGTGCTGAGGTCGTCTCATACAGCAAGAAATCCCGTCACGTTTTGGTGTTTCTGGAAAATCTAGTGACTAAAGCAAATGAGTTTCTGCAGTTAATGTTACTGAGGGTTTAGGTTACAGGCACTTGCCAGAGAGCTCAATTTCTTTTTTTTTTTTTAATTTTTTTTTTTTAACATTTATTTATTTTAGAGACAGAGTGAGACAGAGCATGAATGGGGGGAGGGCCAGAGAGAGAGGGAGACACAGAATCTGAAGCAGGCTCCAGGCTCTGAGCTGTCGGCACAGAGCCTGATGCGGGGCTCAAACTCACGGACCGTGAGATCGTGACCTGAGCAAAGTTGGACGCTCAACCGACTGAGCCACCCAGGCGCCCCAAGAGAGCTCAATTTCAAATCAACTCTTCTCCAGTCTTCTCAAAAGTCTCAAACTGTTATTTGAGTGATTGTCTCAGGCCTCACTACTCAATGTATGGTCTGTGGGCCAGTGGCAGGGACCTGACTTGGGAGCTTGTCAGAAATGTTGAGTCTTAGGCCCCAGCCCCAGCTTCCTAAATCACGATCTTCATTTTTCACAAGTGCATTTGTTGAGTTAATCTATCAATCATTTGCCAATTAAATTTTGACCAGCATTGGTCTAAGAGACACTGTAACCATGTATTAATCCATCAGAAATTTTACTTTGGAATCCTGTTAATCTATAAATCTGCCTCAAGTTTTTATATTTTCTGCAACTGAAGGAAAAATGGAATCTGTGAAGGGGACATGTGTTCACGCTTGTAACCCTAGGTCCACTTTTTGGCCAAAAGGGTTCATAAATTTTCAGCTTTTAAAAATGTTGCAAACTTGGGGCGCCTGGGTGGCTCAGTTGGTTGAGCGTCCAACTTCGGCTCAGGTCATGATCTCGTGGTCTGTGAGTTTGAGCCCTGCGTCGGGCTCTGTGCTGACAGCTCAGAGCCTGGAGCCTGCTTCAGATTCTGTGTCTCCCTCTCTCTCTCTCTCTGCCCCTCCCCCGCTCATGCTCTGTCTCTCTCTCTCTCTCTCTCTCTCTCTCTCTGTAAAAAATAAATAAACATTAAAAAAATACAAATACAAATAAAATAAAATAAAAATGTTGCAAACTCGCTTGGTGCATATCTTTTGCCAAACAGGCCAATCAATTTAACAAACACTTGTGGAATGTCCACTTTGTGGTAATGTGGAATTGTAATTAAGGAAAGTTTTAAGTTAATCTGTTTGGGTTCCAATTCCAGCTCTACACTCAAAGCTACATGACCTTTGATCAATTTAGAATTGGCCTTTGAGAAGTTCTAATTCTCCCCATGCCTAGATATTTTTCAAATATAAAAGCGGGGTACCAGTGACCCCTAACCCATAGGGCTTTATGAAGATTACTCTAGTGAATACATGTAAGTTCTCAAAACCGTTTGTAGCACATAGTAAGTACTCAGTAATAAATAGTGACTATTACTATGTACCTGACACTTTTCTAGGCTCTGGGAAAATGGTTAAGACACACACCATCCCAGCCCTAATAGGTCCTTTATCTTACCAGGAGAAAATAGACATTCCATTATGAAAAAAATTTTTTTTTAATGTTTGTTTATTTTTGAGACAGAGAGAGACAGAGTGTGAGCAGGGAAGGGGCAGACAGAGATGGAGACACAGAATTGGAAGCAGGCTCTAGGCTCTGAGTTGTCAGCACAGAACCCGACGGGGGGGGCTCGAACTCACAAGCCGTGAAATCATGACCTGAGCCGAAGTCGGACGCCTAAACGACTGAGCCACGCAGGCGTCCCATAGACACTCCATTATTAATTTTATAATTACTTATTTTCAGTTGGGATACATGCTGTGAATAGAGAAGTACAGGTGTCTTTGGAAGGATCTGACCAGGGCTGGGAGGTCAGGAAGGCTTTCTTGGAGAAGTGAGTTGACGTAAAAGGGAACAGAGAAATGGAGAGTGATCCGGGTCCGCAGCGGGTCGTCTTGGGCAGGTCTGGCATCCAGATCCAGCCCGGCAGGTATTGGGCAGAGGCCGGAAGACAAAGCTGATGTG